GGCCGCCGTGGCTGCAGCGGCCAGGGCGGCAACGACACCACACCAGCAGCAGGTCGTGGACACTCGGCTCATGGGGAAGCCGAAGAACTTCACTGGCAAGGAGGACGACTGGCACCAGTGGGCCATCACGATGCGAGCGTACGCAGGGGCCATCAGCGAGCGCGTCCTCTTCCTGATGGACGAGGCCGAGGCGGCGGAGAACGCGGCGAATGCAGCTCTAGAGTCGGATCGCGACAACGAGCTCAGCACTCAGCTCTACTACATCCTCACGATGCTGCTCGAGGGCAAAGCATCGGACAAGGTCACGCTCGTCGGGCGAGGCCAAGGGCTCTGGCGGTCGCTCACGGACGAGCATGAGGGCAAGGCCGTGACGAGGACCACGGGGCTCTTCCAGCAGGTGCTGGGCTTCGGCTTCGAGTCAGATGATACCCTGCACGAGCTCGGCCGGTTCGAGAAGGTAGTCCAGCAGTACGAGAACGCGACAGGCAAGACTGTAGACGACGACCTCCGCACGGGGATCGTGATCAAGAGCATACGCCAGGATGACCTGGCGAGGCACGTGGTGATGAACTCGGACCGGCTCGACACGTACGACAATATCAATAACGATATCATCGGTATCTACAGGACGAAGAAGTACCTTGTCACTGGCCCGTCGCCCATGGACGTCAGCGCGGTCGATGCTCGAGTGCGCTGTGACGTCTGCGGCAAGACCGGCCACACCCGTCGAGACTGCTGGTGCCAGGGCAACCCTGGCGGCAAGGGCCGCGGCAAGGGCAAGGACGGCGGCAACAAAGGCAAGGGCAAAGGCAAGGACGGAGGCAAGAACAACAGAGGCGGCAAGTTCGGAGGAGGGCGTGGTCACGGCGGCGGTGGCAAAGGCGGAGCTGGTGCTGGCAAGGGAGACTCCCACTTCAACGGCGAGTGCGGCTACTGCGGGATCTGGGGCCACAAACGGTCGCAGTGCCGGAAGCTGCAGGCGGCTCGCGGCCAGGAGGGCCAGCGCCAGCAGATCGGCCAGCTGAGCGACCAGCAGCACCAGCAGCAGCAGCAGCAGCAGCAGCATCAGCACCAGCAGCAACAGCTCCCGTACGCAGTGACGCAGTATCAGCAGCAGTGGCCTTTACCTCCTCAACAGCACTCCCAAGGACGACAGGGCTCTGTTACCACGTCTCTCGCGTCCACTCAGCAGCTCGGCTCGCTGGTGCTCTGCTCGGTCGAGCGCGGCGAGATCGGGAGCTTTGGCGACAGGCTCGTGAGGATCGGCGTGGACTCGGGGGCTGGTGCGACGGTCTGGCCCAAGGACTTATGCAGTGACTACCCGATCAAGTCCACGCCGGAGTCGAGGTCAGGCCTCGAGTACGCACCAGCTGGCAAGGGCAGCAGGGGCATCACGGATCTCGGCGAGAGAACGTACGACATTGTCAGCTGCGACGGCCAGAGTCTGAGCATGAAGGTGCACGTCTGTGACGTCCGCAAGCCGCTGCTGAGCGTTGCGGAGATGAACGACATGGACTTGGACGTGCACTTCTACGCGGACAGCGGGAAGGGCGCCTACGCGATCAACCCGCAGACTGGCAGGAGGGTGGGCATCGAGCGCGTCAACAACGTGTTCGAGATCGAGGCGTCCGCGCCCCCTTGGTCGGGGGGCAGCGGGCAGGCTTGACCGTAAGACCCGACGGGTGCAAGAAGCAGCTGCGGTGGGGGCCCGTGACCTTGGCCCCCCTGCAGGACCTACGAGATTCTCCGCCTGCTGAAGCAGCAGGCACGGGAGGAGGCGCGGCAGCATCTTCTTCGGCGGCACCGGCCCAGGCTGGACCCCCACTTCTGGCTGCACCAGCGCCTGCACCTCCACGCCATTCGGGCGATGCTGACGCCCAGATGCATGGCGATGCGGACGTAGGACGGCCGAAGTTGCGAGTCCTGGCGAGTCCCATGATGCCTACTCCAGACGAGGTGGCCGAGCACAACACGTGTCACCTACCCCACCGAGCTTTGCGGCAGACGCTGTGCGGCTGGGCGCGGCAAGGCCGATCAGCATCGAGCCTCCGAGGCCGCGGGCCAGATCCCCACGCTGCACGCCGACTACGGTTTCCTGGGCGAGAAGAGCGAGGTCGAGAAGATTGAGAGCTCGACCATTCCTTTCCTCGTTGTCAAGGACGGCCCGCCTCCGACGGGCACGCGCTGGCTGGACGCCCACGCGGTGCAGAGCAAGGGTGTCCAGCACGAGTACTCTACCAAGATCGTGGCCCAGGACATCGTCAACGCTGGCCACGGCAGGTTCATCTTCAAGTCCGACGGCGAGCCGGCTCTGGTGGCGGTCAAGAAGAGTGCGGTCTCCGAGGTCCGCCGGACTGGTGTGGAGATCAACGTCACCCCAGAGGAGAGCCCTGTGGTGGACTCGCAGAAGAACGGCTACGTCGAGCGCGCGATCTGGGAGGTGCAGAGCCTCACGCGCGTCCTCATTCACAAGGCTGTGGAGCTTCATGGCACGAAGTTCCACGCTGCTCATCCTCTGGTGGTTTGGGCCATTCGGTACTCGTCGCAGCTGCTGAATCGGTTCCAGCGATCCGGTGACGACGGCAGGACTGCTTTCGAGAGGCG